ACTTGAAGTCTTGTATTGCAGCTCATTCTCTTACTCAAAAAGTCAGCAGCAATTAGATCAACTAAGGCCATGTAAACAAGAATGCCAGCAGATATAGAATCAAAGATGCCTTCAATGATCAAGGCTCTTGGACTGTTTGGATTGTAACTAGTAGAAATCCCAGTCCCCACAGCAATCCCCAGTGGGGTTGTGATGGCGAAAAAACATGCCATTATGGTAGCATGGACGGTTTTAAACTGGGCCTGAGAGATGCAGCCTCCAAGAGCAAACCCTTCAAAGAACTGGTGGAATGATAATGCCCCAATCAAGGGTCTTATGGTACATGGACTTTGTGACACTCCAAGAGAGAGCCCAATGATCACGGAGTGTGATACTATCCCCAATTCCAAGACCTGTCAATTAAGAGAGACATGAGTGAAATCCAGATAAACTTTTAATCTATATGCAAAAAAATGGATTTAATTGAGATATGGCAACTACAGAGTAAAAATAGGGCCGAGAGAGAGAGAGAGAGGGAGGGGGGGAATGCTTATGTTCAACTATCTTGGCCTATAGATACAAGAAAAACCTATAAAATCAGGAAAGCCAGCGCATAGCTCAGTAGTGATGATGCTGTGGTTTTCTACAAGGTCAAAACAATATTTAACTCGGCCACAAGAACTTTATCAGTCAAGCACACAAGGATGTGGAAGAAAATCCTCAGAAAAAGAGGATGGCGCTGAACTAGCAGTCAGACACTGCAAAAGCCACCCTTCAGCACACCAGTCTGCCCACGGCTGAGACTTGTATTCCCCAGAGAAATTTGGAACGAGGGAGATTAATGAGATAATATACATAATGTGCAGACTCCATTGTCACTGATTGACTTCCCAAAAAAAAGGAAAAAAAAAAGATCTGTAGAGGGGGGAGGGGAAATATTAAATCATAGCAACATATAGCATGAAAGAACTATTACGCCACAAATTCTCTAAAGTTTTGTTCCAAGTGAGGTTTCATTCAATGACAACTATAAAATGCATTTCATAATGAGCTAATATCTGGAAAAAGTAGGATAAAATATTCTACACCTGGAGAATGAATAAATGGTCATCATAAAATAACAAAGGCAAAATTTTATGATCCACCTTCTGAATATTTAGCAGGCATCAGCACAAAGTATGATACGTAAGAATGAATGGGAGAGGAAAAGCTTGGTATAAGAAGAGTATCAGTCAAGTAGGATCATAACGAAATCAAGTTTGCTGGCCTCCAACAAAAACTAGAGAAACTTCACAGAATCTCTTCAATAAAATGCTAGAATTTGGGAACCATGAAGTTCCAAATATCACTCAATTTTGTCAATTTAGGTTTATTCCCCACAAAGATTTAAAGAAATTGTTGACAGTCAGAGCCTAAAGTAAGATTGCATAATGAATGGGGGCCTTCTATGGTCTTTGATCATGAGTCCAAATCTTATCCCCAATCCTCTATCTATTTCAAAAAAAAACTAACTACAACATAAAAAGAGCACAAATAAAAACGTTTTGAAGAGTATTAGCAATGAAAGTGCAAAGATGCTGCCAAAATGAATGTAACACACAAAACAAAGCAATTTAAAGTACCTGTGAAACAACTACATGCCTCTTACTACCTTCTTCATTCCCATCATCTATCTCATGTGAATGTGAATGACCGTGTGAATGACTCCTCTTATTTCCAGCACAAGCTCCTTGCTCTTGAGGGTGGCTATGTCTATGATGTGCTGCGTGTGCATGCATCCCCACAATGTGCATGCCACCACCTTCTTCTTCACCAAACACTTTCCCATTCAAACCTTCATTCTCTGCTGGAACAATTCCTGACTCCATGTCCACTGAATCAACCCGCACAATTTGGCTTTCTTTCCCTTGTTTACGCTCATAGTACTGGGTTCCGATGAACTCAATCAGAAGAGTCCCCAATGCCGCCATCATTGCTATAAATCCAGAAAATGGAAATTTTGACCATGGAATTTCAGGCAGACAAGAGTCAGTCAAATTTGACGTGGCATCTGGCAACATGTGCACAAAACCTGTAGCGAGAATGACGCCACCTGCAAAGGCCTTGGCTGCGACAAAAAGGTTGGAATCTGTTCCAAGGAACCAACGTTTCTTACCAACTAAGGGTATTGCAACACCGCATACCCCAGCAAAAAGGATTGCTGCAATCGCCACCATTTTCAAGGTGAATGCTGTTCCCTCATCTCGGCAGCTGTCCAATTCAGAATCATGACTGGTACAGGTCGTGTTTGCCATGGATTGAGAGAGGTCCTGCAGAAAGGAGCCTTTTTTGGAGCCCCAAATGGAAGACACTAGAGAATTTAGAGTGCATTTCAACTTCCAAGATGATTATAAACAATCTAAAAGTCATCAACAAAAGAGACTTTCTGCTCTACAATCATGAACAATTCAACTGAAACATAACCACCATGGCATTAGTGACCTATAATAATGGACAAGCAGCAATTACTTCAGTCGTCCTACCATTCTTTTGTAATTGAGAAAGATATTGAACAAAAACACAAGATACACAACTTTTGTTTTCTCCATGCCAACAACAGAAAAAGTAAATGATGAGGCAAATTCACATGCATGCAGCTTAAGAAAATGCATTCTCTTTGTGATCATACTGTAATATAGCAAAGCAGACTACCTTTCTTTCATCCCAAATTAAACTAATGATTAAGTCAACTCAAATATTTTCTAGAATTGAAATTTCTAGACATTCGAGAAGCCAAATAAACAGTCAACTCAGATAACTAAGGTAGAAACATCAACTCTTCAGCTCCATATTTGTGTTATTCACAAATATACTGCATGAAATCAAAACACCAACAAGAAGAAGAATTTAATTCGTCATCTCACGTTTATCAATGTACAACATCAGAAATAATAGCAACCTAATAAAAAAGATGTCTACTTATGAATTGAAACAGAATTTTCAACAACTAGGAAGCAAAACATGCAAGAACCAGCTTGATAACCAAATTCTTCCAGTTGTTTCTCAATTTTCTAGACAAATAAAGAAAAGGGTATATCAAATTCTCGTTTTTACCAGCAAAAGCCCGAGACTTCCCGGTAATTCCCTTCAACTCAATCAAAGGCAATATATCCTGAAACACCAAGAAATCCCAATAAAAATCACAACTTGATCAACAACCACCTACCCAAACATCAGATTACGAGCAAGAAAGTAACCAAGAACGCTGAAAGAAGAGGAAACTCAAGGCAGGGAGGAAAGAAGAAGAAAGGATCAGAACAGAGTACAACACTGAGAGAAGCCTAACCTCAATGAATGACATGGGATGCAAGCTATAAAGGGGTGCACAAAAAAATGAGTTTCGGTATTCTCTTGAAAACCCTCTAGCTCTCTTTTGAAGAGAGTAATAAAATCAGCACGAATCTCAACACCCTTCTCAACAGTGGAACTATTTATACCTCCAGCTCCACTACGAACCTTGTGGCATCAAGAATTCACGAACGAAAAAAGGTAATCAAAAAGTATGAAAGATGATGACCCCCTTTGGGATTGGGGATGTGACATCGACGAACCGCGTTCTTGTGGCAAATGTAACCACCGATTGGTACAAACAAAAAGAAAAAGATAAAAAAGCAAGGGGCGCACAGGCAGAGCACAGCAAGAGCGAGCAGAGCAGATGGGAGAAAGCTCTTGCGGTTGGGTTGGGATGTCGACATACTTGGAGGATCCTGAAAGAGGGTGGAGAGAGTGGCATAGGCCAGAATAGTTGAATTTGGGGGAGGAATGGGGGGTTGAGTGTCGACACCTCGACGTAACGCTAACTAAATTTCTAATGTACTCATAATTAAGTATAATATTTGTTGGATCACGTACTACTAGCTTTCTTTTGTTTATTTGTTACCCATGATAGCAAGGGGAACTTTATTTGTTAGTTTTTGCTGTTATTATACTGTCTCCTCCTGCTAACGCACTTTTTTGTTTGTTTGTTTGTTTTTAGGGTAAAATACACCAAACCCCCTTTGGTTTGGGTTATTATCATAAAGTCTCCTCATTATTTGAAAACCCCCAAAGAACTCCCTCGTGATTTGGACTAATTTGGACAATGAACGAAAATTGTCTAATTTGACGGAAAATATGAAATTCCTATATTAACCTTGTTTCAATCTGTACTAAAAGTTAGTTCAAGATTCACATAAGATTTTAAAAACTTTTTCACTTCATTTGAGAATAAAGAAACATCAAGTGGCACATTTGAAAATTTCAAAACTTATCATCTTCTCCAAATCTCCACTTTTTCCGTCGACAACAGTAGAACAGCCACCAATTACCACAGCCACCATTCAACTGAAAACACATTCTCCTTCAACTCGGCCTCCGTCACCGCATCCACCTCAATCGAGCCCACTTCCGCTGGCGTCACAGCCGATAACACCCTCCCAAACCATTATCCGAACCTAGAGTCGCAGCTGCAACGGAAGCAAAAGCTGAAGTTAAAGGTGCCTCCGAATCGAAGGAGGCTTTGGCAATGAGAAGCTCCGGTAGTGCTAGTGTACGTCAAGGTTTGTAAAATCGGAATCCCACGTCGGATCGATTTTAGTTTCACAGAATCGGATCGTAGGATCGTAATATCCTACCAAAACTCCTAAATTTACTAAATTAATGAATTTGAAATTCATATATCATTTTGTACATCCTAAAAGATATCAAATAAATAAGTTACTCATAAATATATAGTATTTTTTACTTACTATCTGACAAGTAATAAAGAAGAGAATATAAACCTGTTATCTGTCATGATTTCAAGTCTTAAAACCAAATGCTTCACAGTTTACACAATCATAATTTCAAATATAAAATAATCATCAACCTTCACAAATACTAAAAAGCCAAACATCCAAAAAGATTTTCAAGATCAAAATTAATTACTAGAATGTCATCTGTCATGTTTAAACAAACATGAAAAAATAAAAAATAAAATAGCAACAATTCATCATTTTCAAGTATCATAATAATTCAGAAATACATTAATTTATAACCAATCATTTTCATCGTTTGAATCAAATTCATTATTCCCATAATCCATATTATCAAAATCATTATTTTCCCAATCATCTTCACCATCCCAATTCTCTTGGAATTCATCTTCGGCATTATCTTCATCACCATCCAAATTAGTATCATCCAAATCATTAGTTCCCTTTTGAAGATCAGTTTCGGGAACCATATCAAGATAATCATCATCTTGGCGGTCGAATTCAGTTGAAGGCCCATCATCCTCATCAATAACATGAATCTCTTTCATTTTATTCACTTGTCTTCGACGGACATGGGTTTGACGATCTTCATGATCATCTAAATAAACAAACAATAATAATGAAAGTTACCAAAAACAAGAGAACTTGCAAAATAAAACTAAAAAAACAAAAAAAAGGATAAACTTTATACTTAAATTGAAAGAAAGAAAGAAACTTACAAACTCTCTGCACATTTCTTGTAAGTATTTCAATTTCATCATCTTCATTTCCCTCTTCATCTGAAGTGTCACATTTGGGATTGTCATCTAGAACTCGTAACCAGCTATTTTCTCTTGGAAGAGTTGGATTTTCTCTCTCTGTCACCCATTCATCATCTGAAGGCAAATTCTCAAAAGGAATTTCTTCAATAACACGTTGCCTTTGCCTTTGTCTCTCTCTCAACTTCAAGTTGTACATCACAAACACAAGATCATTCATTCTTTTTTGAGCCAAACGGTTTCTTCTCTTAGAATGTACCTATTGAAATTGAAAGAACTTATACAGTTATACTACGAACTTAAATTCAAATGCTAAACAAAATATTATACTAAATGAGATATTATATTATATGAAAACATTATTACCAATTCAAATGCGCTCCAATTTCGCTCACATCCAGAAGAGCTACAAGTTAAACTGAGAATTCGAATGGCAAAATTTTTCAACTCTGGACACTCATCGCCATAAGATTCCCACCAATCAACTGTAGGAAATTAAAATAAATAACAAATTAGTAAAGGTTTTAAAAATAAAACACAAAATTCAAATAGTAACTAACCAGGAGATTTCTTGTTTCTTGTTAGTACAGCATTTTCATGACCAAATAATCCATTTGCATGTCGAAAGTCATCTAATTGCAAATCAATCTTCACCATTTCACCAGATTCGGGAACCATCTTAGCAATGCAATCATAAAGGCCACGTTTTATATTTGCATCCGACTGAAAATCTGGACTATATTGAAATTGAGGATTCAAATAATAACCCGCGGCATGTAAAGGATGACTCAATTGATCTTCCCATCTTTTATCAATGATAGCAAATGCCGATTCATATCTAGCATATAAACATGAGTTTGGTTAAAAAAATAACTAAAAAAATTCATTCTACTATCCAACACAGAAATTATAAATGAACTCATAATTAATATGACAATTTATTTAAAATTTACCTATTTCGAATATTGTTCACATTTTGTTTGATTTCTTCTTTTGCCTGATCAATAGCTTTATAGAGAAAGCCCATGGCTGGTTTTTCATCAGAATCAACCATCCTCAATACTTTGATAAGAGGCGAAGCTATCTTTAAACATAACTCCACATTTGGCCATAATTTTTGATTATCAAAAATGATGCTCTCAATTTTTTTCCCCTTGTTTCTCCTAGCATACATGCTTGTTTTCCACTTATCCGAACAGAAAAAGTTAAACAAATTCCCTTTCAGCTCGCTAAGACGTCTCATGGTCAAGTATGAAGTAGCAAAACGAGTAACTCCAGGTCTAATCAACTCCTTGCCATTAGTGAACTGTTTCATCCAATTAATAACTGTACCCCATGAATAAATATATGTAACCACTGATTTCGCTTTTTGTATAGTAACTTTGTGGAGAGAATCAAACTTTTGAAAATCTTCTAACATTAGATCAATACAATGAGCAGCACAAGGGGTTCAAAACAATCTTTTTCTCTTTTCCATCAATATTTTTCCAGCTGCCTTATAATTAGAAGCATTATTGGTGATGACCTGCACAACATTATCCTCTCCAATTTTTTCCACAATACCATCTAACAATTCAAATAATTTTTGAGCTGTTTTTGAAATATCAGTGGGTGTGTTTGGATCCTTGTTTTTTGGGCTGTTTTTGAAAAACTGTTTTTCACATTCCAAATGCTACATTAAATGTGTATTTCCAAAACAACTCCAAAAACACCATATCCAAGCATTATATCAAAAACAACTACATATGTATATTTCAATTATGTATATTATATATATATATTATATTAATATAAATTGAAATATACAAATTGAAAATTATATATATTATATATTATATAAATATTTATATACATTAATATTATACATAATATATTATAATATACATAATATAATATACATAATATGTAATATTATATACATAAATGTGTAAATATTTATACATAATATATTATGTACATTATATTATAATATATACATTATTAATGTATAATATTATTATGTACATTATTGTGTATAATAATGTCTAATAATGTTAGGTATAATATATAATATACATAATATGTAATAATGTATATTATGTATAATATATTATATTATGTATATTATATTATATATATACAATATTATGTATATTATACAAATTGAAAATTATATATTATATATTATATGAATATTTATATAATGAAATATACAATAAATATTACAAATTGAAATATTATATAAACACCATATTTATAATATTATAATATTTATAATTAATATTAATGTATATTATATATATTAAATATTTATATATTTATTTTTACATATTATAAATATTTTATTTTACTTAAAAAATATTTTTACATATTTATAATATATTTATATGAATATTATATATTATATAAATTATATATAATATAATATATATTATACATTTATATAAATGTACATTTATACATAATATATATATATATTAATGTATATTTATAATATACATTTATATTATGTATTATACATAATATAATACATTTATAATACATTTATATTAATATACATAATATTAATTTTATATTTATACATAATATTAATACATTTGTACATTTATATTAATTATATTAATACATTTTTACATAATATTAATATATATTAATAAAATCATAATTTATACATTTATATAATATTCATTTGTAATTTATACATTTATAATAATATACACTTTTACATTTATAAATATATTTATAATATGTATTATATGTAATATAATACATTTATATATTTTTATATAAATACATAAATATATTTATTTATAAATGTATTATAAATCCATAAATGTATATTTATATAAAAATATAAAATTTATAATTTATAATTTATACATTTATACATTTATATAATATTCATTTATAATTTATACATTTATAATAATATACACTTATACATTTATAAATATATTTATATTATGTATTATATATAATATAATACATTTATAATACATTTATATATTTTTTAGCGAATATATAAATATATTTATTTATAAATATTTATAAATGTATTATAAATGCATAAATGAATGTAAAAATAAAATTATAAAAATATCCAAAAATATGTTTTAAAAATACCTCTAAAAATAATCCAAAAACTATACAGTAAAAGTTTTTCATATAGTTTCTGAAAAACAACCTAAAAAATAACTAATCCAAACGGACTTGTATTTCAAAAACGAAATGCTAAAGTGCTGTTTTTGAAAAACAACCCCAAAAACAGCTAATCCAAACGGAGCCTATTGGTATCTACCGAAGATAAGAACATAGTACCAGCTGGACTATTCACAAGAAAATTGTTCATTGTTCTCTTTCTCTGATCAGACCATCCATCGGACATAATAGTACAACCAGTTTTTTTCCACTTTTTTTTGTACATATTGAGCAAATTCAATGTCTCTTACATCTCTTTTTTCAAAAAGGTCACTCTCATTTCATAGTATGAAGGTGGTTTAAGTCCTTTTCCATATTCTCCCAATTTCCTAATCATTAAAGGAAACAATGGGTTATTTACAGCATTAAATGGAATGGCACTTGTATAGAACCGCCTAGCCATTATTTGACAAACTTCATCTCTATCTTGTTTCTTCCATTTCTCATTTATGGTTGTTTATCTCACATTCAACCTCCCAGATTTTCTCACAACAAAGTTGTCCATAGAACATTTTTTAGCCTGCTGCTTAACTTCACATTCTTCTTCTTCTAAATCATACATGGTACTAACCCTTTGTTTTTTTTTCCTTGATTCCTCAGAACTTGCACTTAGTAAATCAAACATTTGGGTTCTAACATCTTCAGGAACGCTGGGACATGATTCAACATTTGTATATGTACAAGCTAAATGATGCTTAACCCTATACACACCACCAGCTCGAGTAATCCCACAGTATTTACACTGAACTTGTTTTTTATTAGAATCAATTTCAATTCCATGATCCTACCCGGGATCCAATCGAGCACCCGGTGCATTTTTTCTACTTTGTTTCTTTGAAGCGGATGAAGACATTTAAGCACTGCCAAATATATTAGAATATTCATAAGAAACCAAGAAATTCAGACCAGACCAGCACTTGATAAAAGAAAATAAAGCTAGCATTCAGAAAATAAGCCAGACCAGACCAGACCAGCACAAGAAATTCAGTCTTATTACCAATGATTTTTGCAAGGCCGAGTGCAAATCCAATGAAAATATAGGTAAAGGACATAACAGCAGCAACAATAGAAGTTCAGAAATTAATGCTTGAACAGCAAACATTTGTATTTGTGTGAATTTTTCTGGAAAATAAAACTTTGCTATGCGTCCTACCAGAAAAGGAAATTCTTTTATGTGTCCTTAGTGATCCTTCATACCCTGTACTGATGTCTAGATCAGTACAGAGTTCTTATAGTACATGAAGCATCTTTGGGATCACAGCTTAATATAGCTTAGTCAAAGGAATAACTAGGACTAGAGTAGAACAGAAAAACAATCTTGTGAAAACAGATTATTAAGGAGTCATGTAATAGAAAGAAAAATTATCAACTGACATGTTTTACTGTAAAGATAACAGTTGAAAAATCAACCGTCCAACTGCTGCAAAATGCATGACAAAATGGGAAGATTTAAACGATGTTATATTAAATAATTTTTCGATTATTACAAAATAATAATACTCCTAATTTTGATTTCTTCAACAAGTTCAATGGGAAGATTTATGTGGTAGCAAAGTCTCGATTATCAGAGCTTCCTATGGAGAAGGCAAAAAAGAGTGTACCTAATGGACCCGTTAATGATTCTGAGAGCACAAATCCTAAGACAAAGTGCTGGTGCTTCAGAACCGTCAATAATTTTCAAGCAAGAAAACCAAATTTTCACAAATCCTAATGGACCCGTCAATAATTCCCTTCAACTTCAACTCAATTCAATCAAAACCAATATATGTTCAAATACCAAGAAAACCAAATACAAATCACAACTTTATCAATCACTATCTCCCAAAGTATCAATTTTCAAGCAAGAAAATAACCACACTCACATATGACTTTAATTGAAGTGCTGGTGCTTGAGCTTCAGTGTGGTGGCAGGCTGGCAGCACGAAAATTGGAGAAGAACGGGTGCTGGAGCTTCAAGCTTTGAAGCTTGAAACGGCCAAAATCCGGCGGCAACAGAGGATTTCGTAGCTTGATATTCTTACCGAAGCAATGGCTGCTGGAGCTTGAAGCTTTAAAGCTTGAAGCCTTGAAGCTGTCGGCTGTAGCTTGTGGGTTCTTGCCTTCTTGGTAGAAGCCGCAACAATTTGTCTTGTTAGTACTTGGTCTTAGTAAGAGCTGTAGCCGAAGCTTGAGATGGTTTGATGGTTTAAATTAGGGATTTGATTTGGGCAGCGGAGAGGAGAAGAGAAATGACTAAGGTCTGCTTGAGGAGAAGATGAAGAAGACCGAAGCTTTTTGACGGAACCTTTTGACTTTGAGGCAAATTTTGTTAAAACATTGCAACTAAGGCCTGTAATTTCTTGATAAACTACAAGCCTACCCCAAATGTTGATTTTTACTTGCAAAATGAACCTTGTATTTCACAAATTAGCCCTTTTTTGTGGGATCGAAGTAGGATCGTAGGATCGTACGATCCTATGCGATCCTACCTTGATCCTACGTAGATTCAAGGAATTTACGATTCTAAGTTCGATCCGAATCGATTTTGCCTTTCCGGATCGTAGGATCGTACGATCCTACGATCCGAATCGCGATTTTAACAACCATGGTGTACGTAGATTGGAGGGTCTGAATTTGACTGGGAACTGGAAACTTCCGGTGAGGAACGAAGTTGAGGATCTTGAAAGGGATGCGAAATTGGGGAAAGTTGGTGAGGAGGTGGAAATGGATAAATTAATAGATTGCGACATTCTCCGGTGAGGTTTCACTAATTAAGGTGGCCGCTAACGGAGTTGAGCTTACGCCCGGAGATTGCAGGTGCGTGACGTAATAACTAAAAATGGGAGAGACAAAGATGAAGAGAGGTGAGGGAGGCACAAAGCTTTGAAGTTTCAGTCTGGAATTTGGGTGGAAATTGGGAAACTGTATTTGTGCTAAATTTCAGTTCAATGATAATAAAGTCCATCTGTATCACCGCAAATTGGAAATTGGGAAACTGTATTTGTGCCAAATGATAATAAAGTCCATCTGTATCACTACCTTCAGTTCCAAGCCCGGCATTGAAACTTCAAACCCACCTGGTAGCGCCAGAGTAATATTACTGAGTAGAGAGTAAATTCACTAAAGACGGTGCCGAAGTAATATTACTGAGGAGAGAGTAAATTCACTGGAATTTGCATGAAGTTTCAGTGCCATATTCCACATCCCAAACCCACCTGGTAGCGCCGGAGGAGAAGGATTTGTCCCGCCTAGCAACCCCCGAGTTTACAACTAAATTCATCTGCTACAGTGACGGAAGTGTACGAATCAATCTATCAATGGTAATTTTTGCTGCTTCAATTGCCATGGTAACCGCCTTCATCGTCATCTTCAACACCATTGGGTCTTAGATTTCATCTATATTCATGAAATTTCTACTCCAGATGGTTCAGGAGAAAGAAGAAAAAAGGAAGAACAAGGAAAAAAAGAAAAGAAAAGAAAACGTAAAATTATCACATTACCCTTGATGTATTGTTATCACACTCGCTTGTCAAGCGTGTGTAATTCACTTTCCGTCAAATTGGATGATTTCCGTCCATTGTCCAAATTAGTCCAAACCACGAGGGGGTTCTTTGGAGGTTTTCAAACAATGAGGAGGCTTTATGATAATAACCCAAATCACAAGGGAATTTAGTGTATTTTACCCTTGTTTTTATTTCTGTTATTATATTGTCTCTTCCAGCTAACGCCCCTTTTTGTTTTGTTTTGTTTGTTTTTATTTTGTTCTGGTTTAAATTTCAGGGCCAGATTTTGCATGTAATGGTTAATCACGAAAACTCCCCCAAAGGTGGTAGTCATTTGTTACACTTTATCCTCTAACATTATTTTTTTCTTACCTTACCCCTAAAATCGTTAGTCAATTCTAAAGTTGTGTATTAGTATTATAAATCCCTAAGAGTTAACTAAAGTAAATCCCCTTAACATGTAGCTTGTTTTGAGCTTTATACTCTAACATCATTTTTTCTCAATTTGTTTGTTTGTTAACAAAATCGTTAGTGAACGCCAATATTTGATAACACCAAAGACAAAATTTGTTATTGAAAGATCAAAATGTGAAATAGCTTTAAAAATCTAAAAATGGCCAGGATGTTGTCAGTTTCTCCATGTAAATATGCATACGGCTAAGCCTTTTTTTTTTAATAGCTAGATACTTCTTTATAGAGTTTACATTTTTTTTTGTGGGTAATACTAAAATAAGAGAGAAATATGGTTGATTTGAGTTTTAAAATTTCCAGAGTTTTTCTTTTAATATACCATACTTAGATGATAATAAAATTTATATGAATTGCTAAATTTTTTTAAAAATATAAACACGTTTTCCAATCATTTTTTTATTTTTTCAACCACCGTTTTGTCTCACAAATATCAAATCGCTAAAAGTGCTGTTATTCTAAAAAAATTTCAAATAATCTTCAATCCAAATAAACCCAATCTATAGACCGGATATTTCCATAGTTCAATTTTGCACTAATAATTTTTTTCCCTTAGGAATATTATTTTTTAAAACATTATTTGTCTTGAATGGTATAAAAAAAATTAGAGTTGACTAAGGGTTTTAGGGACAAACAGACAAATTAAAAAAAATGATATTAGAGGGTAAAATGCAAAATGTGCTATACTTTAAGGGATTTACTATAATTAACCCTTAGAAATACCAATATTTTTTTATATTTTCGTTATATAATGTTAGAATTGATTAATGATTTAGGGAGTAAAGTGAGAAAAAAAATTAGAGATAAAGTGTAAAGTGGTTAAAACTTAGAAAGAGTTTTTGTAATTATCCCAAAAAAAAAATAAAGTTCCACTAACGGTACCCATTCGCATCTTGAGTGTAATTTAAGTATGCTAATATTAAATAACTGTCAAAAAAATCTACTAATGTTTTTAACAAAAATTTAGTGATTGTGTTGATTTAATTTAGTTACCATTGATGAACATATGCACCGGGCACTCGTTCGACAAACTTGAAAAAGGAAAAATCTGTTTCCCCTAACTCCAATTTTCTTTTATGACATGAAACCTTTTATAAATTGATATAGCTTTGTTAATTAAGTGTTAGTCTTGTTTTTCAAGAGCCTCGTTGTATCCCTCACCCCTCACCTTTTCCCTTTCTACCCAAAAAAAAAAAATGCATCTTAAATTTGTTGCTATGCCCTCTTGCTCGCTGTACAATTTCATTGAATATTTGCTTCAACATAAATTCAGTGTTACGGAAAAGTGTTGAATAAATATGATACGGCAATGAAAGAAATTTACAAAAAAAACCCCATTTAATTGCATAGTAAAGATTGAAAAAATTAGTCGGGAACATATATTTGGCACTTCCGTTGTTGTCTGTGCATCCAAAAAAGTGTCATTAGCAAGTAATAGTTCATGGTATCTTGATTTTAATTGAAGAACGATGGAATATAAAAAAAAAAATTGTAAACATATTACATAAGCTAGTTATTGTTTATTTTCACGTCATGATGTAAGCAACCATGTAGTAATAGAAATATTCACAATCTCAACTTTACACATTGGGCTGGTGATTATATCATATGTTGTGATTTTATAATTGTATTTATTTTTTTTCTAATTAATCTTATATTTTAAAAAAATATGACATCTGAAATATATTAATGGACACCCATTCAACAGACCCGTATATATTTAATCAAACAATGAACCCAAAAATTAAAACAGTATATATCATCAAACTTGTTACATGATTGATCAAGTACAAAGCATCATACTTCTAACTACTATCATTAATAGGTTGTCCTTAATTCTTGGGTAATTTTCCATTATTTGTGTTCTTTGATTGACATGCATTTTATGAGCTACCAAATAACAAAGAAATGAAATAAGAGGATGCATAGAACAATAACAGAAGAGTATATATAATTACCGCAGAAAAAAAGTGTGAAAGCGATAGGATTCGTAAAAACAGGAACAATAATGTCAAAATGAAACTGTATAAAATAATTGGGAGTCAGCTCGGGCAGTAAAGTTTCTCGTCAACAATAAAAATATTGGGAGTCAGCTCGAGCAAAAATTTTGTAACGAGTGCTGCCGTGGGTGGGATATCCCTTCCATTAGTCTACCTTTTTATTTTATATATATATATAGAGAAAAGATCATTTCATTCAATTAATGTACATTAATGACGGAAATATATAAAATCAAACATGACATAGATACGTACAGATCTAAAATCAATAGATATAACAAAAAAAAAATCTTAGAAGAGAATAAAATTTTCACAAGAATAATTTAGGAGAGGAAAAGTCACACTAGGAGAGAAGAATCTTTCATTAGAAAATCTCATGAGAAAATTTATTTTATTAGTCTACTATAAATACGTAAAAATGACTAACTCGAGCATGATTATTATTGCTTCCGTACGAAAATCGAATTTCTAAAATATTATATGGTTTTACGCGATTTCCTGTGTTCTAATCGAGAAGAGCAAATTATTATAGTTTTAGCTACTCAACTTTTAAGAATATGTATTTACCCACTAAATTATCAAAAATATAAATTTCGACAATTCCATTTATTTTTACCATCACGTCTGCTAGACCTAAGGACTTGCACGAATCACGAGACATAATTGAGAGGCAATTTACGAAGTACGGAGTGCATTTGCCCACTAAATCATCGTCCGAATATATATTTACTCACTAAATTACCGTGCAAGGTCTTAGATTTGACAGACTTGACAGTAAAAACAAATGAAACGTCCCAAAATTTATACTCCTACTTTTGATAGATTAGTGAATAAATACCTACTTTTAAAAGTTGAATAACCAAAACTCTACTATTTGAAAATTTTAGTGGGTATCCGAGTGCTTTACTCAATCAACAATGGTTGGTCTCTTTTCCTGCACTGGGATGATGAAGTCAACTATAAATAGCTTTCTTTTTTTTTTTTTTGATAATAACTATAAATAGCTTTCTGAACGACACTTTACAAAAGTAACAAAACTTTAAATAATAAAGATTCTACTGAAATTCCACCGATTAAAAAAATAGAAGCTGAAAGCAGCCCAGAAAGGTAGATCGAATTATATATTGCTCCTAAAGTCAA